TGAATTTCCGATCAACCAAGGTTTGGATCGGATCGGGGAAATTTTGCGCATGTAAACGTAGCTAATGTTACAAGCGGGGCTCCCCTCTTAAAATACCGACTATGTAGGTTAGGAGGTGAAAGACCGTCAGTGGCCAGGTCATGTGACCTGGAAGAACGTATCGCTTTACGCCCACAGGCTGTATCGCCATGGAGCTAAGGCTTTTGCTCTACTTTTTTCCCGCCTGCTCGATTGCTGATCATAAGGCAAGGAAAAAGTTTAAAACTTCTGGGAAGGCTCAAAAGAGAAAATTTGAAAGGAAAAAAAAAGGAAAAAGATTTTGTTCGTTGGCGCAGGGTGAAAGAAGAAGCTGGATGTAAAACTGATTTTCTTTTCCTCAACTTTATTATTAAACTGGTAAGTGAACACTTGAGAGTGAATGAGAGAACAATATGAGAACAATATCTTGGTATATTGGTACTCAGAATTTTCATTTTGACTGATTTAGAAACCAAATCAAATTCCTTTTATTTACCAGACTTTCGATATTAGAGGCAGCATTGTTGCTATAAATCATAACTCCCTCTGCTTTTCAGCTTAGATCTCAGAACATGTAAAATCCTCTACCAGTTTGATATAACCTTTGAATTTGTATGGCTGTAATGCAGTACAAAAACAGTTTAATTGCCAAATTGTTGTGATAAAAGAAACAATTTTTATTTGCCACCAATTACAAATTATAGGTTTACTCACTATCTTCATCCTCCTCAACCTAAGTGCAGCTTTTGATACCATCTATAACACCACCCTCCTTAGCAGGTTTTTTTTTCCAACACACCATTGGCTGGTTGACTTCCCAGTTATCTGGCTGCACTCAGTTCATTCAACACAAGACCCTCATATTTTCCCTCCCCCCGTCACATAAGGTGTGTCCCATGGCTCTGTTCTTTGGCCCCTCCTCTTCATCATCTATATCCATTCCCTTGGTAATATCTTCAGGAAAATTTAACATCCATTTCAACTTATGATACCTAATTTTACCTCATCACAAAACCATCATCCTTACAACCACCACACTGGAAAAAAACAAATCTGTATCAGTCATTTTTTCTTAAAATAGGTGCATTTGCTCTTGGATTGAGGAGGTAAAAGACATTTTGCCAATGGAACAAGACAACTTACATTAAAATGAGAAAACACAATTACATTGTCTTATTTCAAGTGCATTTTATCTAAATATATTATTTTAAGAGTAAAAATACTCATTCAATTGGCAAATCATCGCATTTACCTACTCAAATTAAGGTTAATATACTTAATCTAAGATTTTTTTTACTTATTTCTAGATTGTTTTTCCAGTGCACCTCCCTCCCCCTGTTCTTTCAATCCCATATAAATGACATTTCTTGGTCTTCCTACTTAATTTAAGAAGCATTAACCGCCTCTGTCCCTCCCTTACCGCTCATATTGCCACCATACTTGTCCACAACCTCATCACCTCCTGACTGGACTATTGCAACTCTCTCCTATTTGGCCTTCCCTAAAAGTCACTCCATAAACTTCAACTGGTGCAGACCTCATCTGCCTGCATTATAAGAAGAAACTTTCTGTCCACCACATCAACCCGGTCCTCCAACAGCTCCACTGGTTCCCTGTTTAGTTCCTCATTCAATACAAAATACCTCTGGTAATATTCAAGACGCTTCGCCACCTTGACCCCCATATCTGTCAGATCTCCTGCATGTTCCCATCCCCATCTGCACTCCCAGATCCTCGTCTGCTTTACACATGTCCATCCTTTCCACCTGTCTCACTACCACGGGGAGCAGAGTATTCAGCTGTTCTGCCCCCGCCTCTGGAACTCTCTGTCATCTTTTCTTAGAAACGCTAACTCACTTCTCCATTTTCAATCACTACTCAAAACTGTTTATGCTTATTGAGTGTGCAGAAAGGTCCCTTTTAAATAAAATGTATTATTAGAAATACGGTAGAAAGAACGCATGAGCAAGTTGCTTGCAAAAATGACTGTTAAGGAACCTGATGAGGATCAGAGAAAACAGAGAAAAATGAGC